TTCATTGCCTCGTTTAGTTAAATGGCAAAATTCTTCATTAGTAATATTTTATTTTCATTTGTTATTAAAAATGGCATGTTCATTACCAACAACCAATTGGTCTAGTGGGATGAGGCACTAGGTCCCTTAAGCAAGGTCAGAGATTCGAATCCTGGCGTTTGCGAATGGAGCAAACTGAGTTGGGAGTGTCGCCCTCGCCTCTACAATATTCAAACTGGATTATTTGGTCAATAGATCAGATACTAGTAATTAATTCAAAAAAATGACATATTCATTAGATGAATATCAACAACAAAGGCGACTTACTTAAGGAGGATTATATGCAATAACTAGTTGGGTTTATTCTGATGGTACTTTTAAATAGAGTTATAAATGAGACGAGATAGATCGTAAGTTACTCGAGATCGATTTAGTTAAAATTCGATTCCAACTTAAATTTGACTTGAATTCTTAATGAGCCGAAACAAGTATATAATACCCAACTTGAAAAGCACGCGAGTAAAGACAATGCATTAAATTTTTAGATTTTTTACATTAAATTATTAATAATATTAACATTTATATGTTGTTTTTTAATATTATATAAGATTTTCATGTACTAAGGTTTAGGTTCGAGCTCGACTTTGAGCTTCAATCGAGCTAAGTCTGAGAAAGTTTCAATTTCAAGTTTTTTTGAGTTCAAGTCGAGCTTCAATTTCTGATTTCGAGTTGAACTTGAAAATTTTAAACTTATGAGTTTTCGAGTCGAGTTGAACTTTAATTTTATATTCCAGGTTCAAGTCGAGCTTGATAATTTTAAACTCACAAATTTTTCGAATCAAATCGAATTCAATTTTAAAATTTTTAAATAAAATTAAACTTAACAATACTTAAATTCAATTAAGCTCATTCAATTCATCTCGAGTGTGAACGAAATAGATTGATCTTTTATTTGTACTTTGTGTGCGCGTTGACGATCTACCAAATAATAATCACTAAAATAATTTTATTATTATCACGATCGCATAAGTTATCATTATAAAATTATTAAAAAAATAGATATTTATAAAAGAAAATAAATGTGCGTGAAGAAACGTATTTTTATCGAGTTACGTGGATGATTTTTTTAATAAAAAGAGTTAGGTGAATGATGATGTTATAAAAAAATGATAATTTAACTCTAAATCGATGGATTTCAATTCATTCTAATAGTTATTTCTTTATAGAAAAATGAGTTTTGATTGAATTATGTTCGGGTAGAAGGTAAAAAACCTTCAACCTAACACAACTTAGAGATAATAGTATAATTTTTTATATATAAATTCATAGATAATTGCAATAATACACCCCTTTATAATTTTTTTAATTAGGTTATTATTTTATGTCGGGTTAATTTTATACTCTAAAATTTTGGATTAAATCAAGCTCGGGTTAAAAAAATATGCTCTTCGAATTGGATCAGATTGAATAAAAACTCGATCCGTTATCATATCTAGTTGTACAGCTCTTAAAAAAAAGGAGGAAAATCAAGGTCTAGAAAAGTGTTTCCTGAACAAATAAATAATTGGATCTTTATATGAATATCACAATAATGGGTGCAAACTAGAGGTGCACAAAAAATTCGAATATCTGATTTTGCGAAAAAAATATCCGAAATTGGATTTGGGAAAAACCGGTTTTTTTTTAACCGGATCGGATTTTTTTTAACCGGTTATTTTAACCGGTTTGGAGAAAAAAACCTAGACCGGTTTTTTTACCGGATAAAAAACCGGTTTGAAAAAAGCCGGTTAAAAAACTGGTTTTTATCCGAAAAAAAAACCGGTCTGGGTTTAAAAAACTAGCCGTTAATATAGCCGTTGGGGGGGATTTTGTGACCGTTTTTGACCGTTTTTTTTCTTTAAAAAATTACCATTTTACCACCCTAAACATGTATAAATAGGTTGGGGATGTATTTGGTTGATTACAAATTTCTCAAATCTTATTACACAACACTTAAACATCTCTCAAATCTTATTTTTGTAATTTTTGTTCATCATGAGTAACACGGCTGAATCTTCCGTCGGGGGAAACCTTGAAGTCGTGAGAGTGATCGAACACACTCGAAACAAAGACATTTGAGATCACTACGATTTATGTGAGATGTCAAATGGCTCGAGGAGGGCGCGTTGTAAACTTTGTCTAAAGTTTCTTGCATCGGAAGGAAACACAACGTTGAAAAACCATTTGACAAAATCATGCAAGGCACTTCGCTCAAGATCGGATCCTAGTCAATCGAATCTTACACCGCAAGGTGGTGTTTTTGTTTACGACAACGAAAAATTACGAGAAGCGTTTACAAAGTTCGTGATTACAAAAGCATTGCTGTTCGACCACTTTGATGATGAAGATTTCACGACAACAATTCAACAACTAATGCAACCACGTTATACTCAAGTAAGTCGTACTACCCTTTGAAGAGATGCTATAAAAATGTGGCGTACGGCGAGGGAAAAAATGATTTTAGGATTCCAAGAACACCGTTATGGTGTGTCGCTTACATGTGACGTTTGGAGTTCCCCTCATAATACCAGAAATTCTTTTTTAGCCGTTACGTCACATTGGTTAGATCAAGATAATTGGCAAATGATGAAAAGAACAATCGCGTTTGAATTATTCGGTGAGCCGCATACCGGTGCTAATTATTTACACTTTTAAAAAGGGTAATTTGTCTTTATAAATTAGAAAATAAAGTTTTTCTATATCCTTTGATAATGCATCGAATAATACAAACGCGGTTCCAAGATTGAAAATATTACTTTCACCGATTTTAGACGGTGCGTTTTTCATACCCGTTGCATTGCACACATAATTAATTATCCGTGCAAGCCGGTTTGAAGGTTATTGAGCCGATTAGATTAGAATTTAAAACAATGATAAAATCGGTTCTTTGTAACAACAACAAAAGACTAAATGATTATAAACGATTTTGTAAGTCCGTTAATAAAAAAGCTTTGGGTCCTAATTTGGATTGTCCAACTCGTTGGAACTCAACTTGGATGATGATACATACTGCCTTAAGGCAAAGGGAAACATTGCAAACATTTCACGATCGGCTTTTCGAGAGGGGTCATGTCCCAAACATTTATCCGGATTCGAGTTGGGAAACTATAGCCAAAATAACCGATTTGCTTGAGGTTTTTAAAAATGCAACAACTTTTTTATCCGGTGTTTATTACCCTACTAGCCCGTTGGTTCTTAATCAAATATTTTTGTTGGCTACCCGACTAAATGACTTTGAATTTGAAACCGAAGTTTTTCAAGAAATTGGCTTTGCAATGAAGGAAAACTTTTAAATATTTTAAGGAGATTCCCCCCATTTTTACTTGTGCCGCCGCTTTAAACCCAACGTTAAATGTTGGTGGGGTTGAAACACTAATTGAACAAATTGCGTTTGCTTTTAATCTAACCGATGATGAACCCAACTTTGTCCAAAACCAAATAAATTATTTTAACAAATGTTTTCGAGACATGTTTGCAATTTATTTAACTAAATACGGATTAAGTAGTGTAATACACGATCAAATGAGAATGAATGCGGAATCATCTAGTAGACGTCCAAGTAACATAAATTTGAATCTTTTTAACACTCTTGTAAATTCCCAATCCAAACGATCACGTACTACCACCCAAGTAGCGAGTTGGGAAATTACATGTCATGCGATTTTCTATCAAAATGACATTTGAAGAGTTTGAAAGTTTAGATATTTTGGCTTGGTGGAAAGAAAAGGAAGCACAATTTCCGATTCTAACCGCCATGGCCCGTGATTTACTAACCGTCCAAGCTTCTACGGTAGCTTCGGAATCCGCTTTTTCTGTTAGTGGCAGGGTTATATCGCAACGGAGATCAAGACTAAGTCCCGAGTCGGTGGAAGTATGCATTTGTTTAAAGGATTATTTGGATGGAGCGGCTCGTAAGCAACATATCACCACCCTAGAAGATGCAATTGATGCCAATTTGGAAGCAAACTTACACATTGAAGAAGTCGAACTTGGAATATCCCCTCCAAACGAAGAAGGCGAAGATGATGAAGAAGAAATGGCAATGTAGTTTATTTTATAACTTTATTTCAATTATCGTAAACTTTGTTTCAATTATCGAACTTGAAGTTTTTAAGTATTTGAATTTATCGAACTTGGAAGTTTTTAAGTATTTGAATTTATCAAACTTGGAAGTATTTAAGTATTTCAATTATGTTGAGTTAATTAAGTATTTCAATTATGTTGAGTTAATTAAGTATTTCAATTAAGTATTTGAATTTATAGAACTTGAGGTTTGATGCTTTCTCTTTGATTCTCTCTTGATTCTAGTTGCTTGATGTTTCTTGTCTTTGATCAATGGCTTCTAAGCTTGCTTAAATACACCTTGAATCACTTCTGAACGTTAGTGATAATTAATGAAGATAATATAGCGGTTTAAGTGTGAAAACATTTAATAAAAATGCTTGGAGCGTGGGGGAATCGGTACCCTCTCATAGGAAATCGGTTTCCTCTCATAGGGAATCAGTTCCCTAAGTGTAAAATTCAAATATTTCGACCGTTGAATAGGGGAGAATCGGTTCCCTCCGAGCATTCTGGAAATCTCGGAGCCAAACCATTCAGTGAGGAATCGGTACCCCCTTGGGGGGAATCGGTTCCCTATGAGCAATCTGGAATATTAAAATCGATTTTTTTATAACCGGTTTTTTAAAAAAACCGGTTTTTTTAAAACCGAAACCGGTTACACCGGTTAGGATATCCGGCCCTCCAAACCTGTTAGAAACCGAACTGGTTATTTTATAAACCGGTTTTTTTTCTATGGAAAAAAACCGGATCGGATAAAAACCGATCCGGATCGGATTGAAATCCGACAAATGTGCACACCTAGTGCCAACTGACATTGTCTATGATATTCGATTACGTTCAAATTAAAAATACTTGTATTTAAATTTTATTATGAATTAAAATACAAAAATATTTTTTTTAGTATTTTTATAGGTTTTAGATAGTGTAACAACAAGCTTCAAACGTAGCCTGAACAAACAAGATGACAACATTGTTAAGGACCAAAGAGATTCTTGAAAGAATGGACTATCTACTTCTATGGTACATAAGATAAAGCCAAAAGGTATATTTATATATTATGATACCACAAAGGTTCAAGACAGAGTCGACACTTGATCTTTTCTCTCTTCGGAAACGTTCAGCAACAATTCTCGAACACGATTCGTAAGATCCGATGTCTCTGGGTCTATCTTTAGGGGACGCCGATACAAACTCTGTAAAACTAGAAGCTGGTTATATTTGCTCCCATGAAAGGTTACTGCCTTTTCTGCATTTGCAAGTAAATAAGCAAGCAAGTGAAGCATACCTCAGAGGTCCACAAGCAATCACCTGCTTTACGGGGGATTATGTGAATATGTGTCTGAAATTAATATCATGAATTCATGGGGGAAGTGAGATCTCTTTTAGTTTCCATGAAACATACAACCATCTTTTCTGCCTACTCTAGACACAAGCATCCACAAAAGCAAAAATGGACTGGTAACTTACATGAAATATAACTTGACCAGCAGCTGCACCATTGTTAACCAACAAGTTGAATGAATCTGCGCATTGGAACTTCGTGGTTTTATTTTATGCAATATGATTCATGGCATCTACATCAATTCCGATACGTATAAATACATTGCCATCCACATTTCACAAGAGAGATTTAACACAAAGTCACAAACTACAGAGTCGGTAAACATAATGACTGAAAAATTGATTTTCCTCAAGCTACTTCATGGTTGAAAACCAACACTGCTGAGAATACTTATATCACACTGGTGAAAATTATATATTTCAATCATCCATATTTTCAAAATAATTTTCATGAAGAATCAACCAGGATGAACAAACAAATGCAGATCAGTTGTTTTGTTTGGTGGCTTCAGCTAGTGTTAATCTTCTAACCCTTTATAAGATATAATATTCAAGGAATGGCTTTGAAAAATCACAATTCAAAAGCCACAAATTTCAAGCGGTTTGATGGCAAATTTAACATGTATTAATATATGTAGTCTAACAACTTCAAAGAAGACTGAGATGTGTAGATCATAACTGCAATAAACACACTACAGCACATACCCGAACCAGTAGCTTTCATGATTGCGTTGCCAAGAAAAGGCACTTTTGAACACATCGCAGCTACCACCTGAATGCTCCTCAAAAGGCAAATAAAAGAGGCTCAAAAAAATGATTTGCTCAAAGAAAATTCTCAAACAAATCTCAAATTTGCAAAGCGTGATACTTAAACCCACAACTTTTATATAAATGAAAGTATATTTAAATACAGATACACAGACAACATTAATGTACGCATGATAAACACTTCTTTTGCATGGACCTGGCACAAAAGCCAAACTAATAGATCTTATCTTTTATAAGTTGGTGTGACAACAAATACGTCCACCTTGTAAAATCAAGGAGAAAAATCTATCTTGAAATTTAAACAAAGGACACTAGTTCATTGCTTAGTTTTCTTAAACATTTCTTTTAACCCCAAATGCACAGTTTAACACTTAACTATTCTCACCAAAGTATACAAGTTTCTAAAGAATCAAAATTTATATGCAAAATGTTCAGTAATAATGAAAAGTGATCACAACTGCTTGAAGAAACAACAACTAGGTCTACCAAACTTACAGAGGGTGGAGTTGTATCCAATGAAGAAAAATGAGACTTTGGGATAATAAGAGAGTGCCTAGGAAACAACTTGCAATGATTAGCTCAACACACCAAAAGAAGCTCATAATGTAAACATCATTTTAAGGCGATTATAGTTCAAAAAGTAATGTGACATGATAGTTTTTCAAAGAAGTTAAAATTAGCCCAATCCCCATATATAGACCATGGTTTTTGTTTTTCCTTGGTATTCATATCGAGGTCAAATGTAGACTAATTAGAAAGTGAAAACAGCGCCAACCTTCCTATCCCAATTCCCAACTACACATGCCCTTTATTCTTATTTTCCAACAACCAACTCTATTTTATCAATTAGGCAATTATCAATTGTATTAATTTAACTTGGAATAGAGGTGAGTAAAAAAAAATCGATTTTTTCGAGTTGATGATACCTATTTTATAAATCAACTTTATTTGAAATTTTTTCCAATCAAATTGAGTTTTACTCCCCTAACTTGAAACTTGGAAGTTACAGCTTCCATATCAGCCCACCTATATAGAAAACTAAGCCTAATAAGATGAGCTAATTGAACTTAGTCCAGACCAGAGGTCAGAATTTACCATACAATTGCAGAATTGCTCTGCTGTAATTTTGCATTTCAGTCCATAACATAAAGTAGAAAAAATAGTTTGGAGATGGTAGAAAATAAAATTGTTTTGGAATAACTAGAGGAAAGATGATACCTTACCCACAACTCAAAGGTCTGGTATCCAATATACACAAGCACATATCATCCTCATACAGCTGCTTAAAATCGACACAAATAAACAAACCAAAGTTAAACAAGAAATTTGGAGAATCCAGGTGAAAAAGCAAGTGAGAGAAGAGTTTCGGTACCTTGCAAGCAGGGGATTCGCCGCGAATAATTAGACAGAAAACGCAGTCGTTCCTCTGGGGAGCGCAAGCGGAAGGAGAAAGGATTGAAAGGGGTGGAAGAGGGGCCGAACGGGAGGGGCAAAGATGGGAATAGAGAAGGGCTAATCTCCGAGCCTCCATATGAGAGTTGGCTAAATTTGACTATGGCGTCTGGTGTTGTTTTGTTTCAAGTGTATTAGTAGAAGTGATTATGGAGGTGGATGGATGGTGGTGATTGGGTTGGCTTATCCGCATCCACAGCCACCCACGTGATACTTTTTTGTCTCCCTTTTCTTTAACAATACTCCATAATTTACCCCCAGAAAGGGGAAAAAACTGAAATTTTCTGGACTTACGCTTCACGTGTAACAAAAACATATTATCTCATTCTTCAGGTTCTGACAATCAGTCAATCACCACCAACCCCATCCTGCCTACTCAAAACTCTAATCACCGCGTTCCCCCTCTCCATTCGATTTCAATATTTTTTTTAAATGGATTTCATGATTTGTCCTGTTTGGTTGCCGGGAAAACGTGGGAATGGAAAAGAAATGGTTTGCTTGTTAAAGATGGGCGCACCTTATCTATAAAAAAGATAATCAGAATCTATTGTAAATAGGTATGTAAATGAATTGAAAGTTCAGCGAATTATTTATTAACTTTTAGGTGGGAAGTTCGTTTATTCATTAAATAAACGAATATGAATAAGATTTTACGTTCGTTTAATTAAATGAAAGAATAAGAACAAAAGCTCATTCGTTCATTTACGTTCGTGAACGTTCGATTATATGTTCGTTTATGTTCGTTCATTTATATTTGTTCATTGTTTGAACAGAGGGTAAGTTGAATATGTTACGAAGATTTTTGAAGTTATTAGATTTCAAGAATATTGTTTTGTTGAAAAAATTAACTTTAAGACTTTATTATGTTCATATAGCTTATTTATGATTTATGTATGTTTTTGTCGTATTCGAACAAATTAACTCTGAAATTGTAGGCTATATTAAAGAATTTTAAGTTGTTATTCTTGTTGTTTATTTTTTTTACATTCATTTGTTGTGTTCGAATAAGTTTATTTTTTGTATTTGTGTTGTTCGTTCGTTTGTGTTCGTTTACGTTGGTTTATCATTTAAATGAGCAAACATTAACGAGCTATATTCCTTAATGAACGAACATGAACAAAAAAATTTATGTTCGTGTTTGTTTATGTTCGTTTATTTATTAAATGAACGAATATGAACATACATCCGTTCGTGTGCGTTCGGTTTATTTACCGGACTAATTGTAGAATTGAGACTTGAGATTTGAGCGCATTAACTGCTAGTTTTATTAATAGGTAGTTGTCACGTGTTTATAGTATTGCAGAAAAAATAATGGCATTATGTTAAATATTCGATCTATTGACCGACTAATTCAGATCGGATATTACAGAGGTTAGGGCGGCCCTACCAACCTATTTTCCTCCCTTCACAAACAATAAGATTTAAATCCCTAACCTTGTTTAAGGGACCTATTATCTTATCTCACTAAACCTAATTTGATCGTTATCTTTTTAGAATATTTTGATCATAAACATTTTATTTTAAAATAAAAGTACTACTAACGTTTAATTTTGACCAATATTCATTAATAAAATTTAAGGGGAATTTTACTCATTTCTCATGATTCTAAAACTAATTAATACGCATTAAAACTATTTTGAGAATTTCAACTTCTATGGGCATTTTGATCATTTTATATATTTTTGATGATTTTCATACTTGTTATGATGTTTTGGCCATTGAGACACCAATTTCGTCCTAAAGAGGTCATTTTAGGATTGTTAGAGGACCAAATTAGGTTTTAAAGTGTCTTTTAGATCATTTAGGCCCAAATTGACTCGAATCGTCCTAAACAAAATTTTAATCTCGAAACATTTCAAAATTTTTAGTATGGTTTTAAAACCAGACATGATTCTAGGATAGAAGTGTCGAAAGTGGTGCTCCTAGTCCTAGTTCCAAAATCCAATCTCGAGAATTCACAAATTGGGTCCAAAAATGACCCAAACCACCCTAAACTTTATTTCTAAACCCCTAAATCCTTCCCATACATCAACAGAAATATTGGAGGCTTTAAAAGTGGATACCACATCCAACCAAATTTCACCATTAAAGGAGCATAAGAGCATCTTGAACACACTAAACGGCATAGCAAGCATATATACAGGTCACCCAAACATTTCATCATTTGAATCATGATCCACACAGAGAACAAGGAGTGTATTGCCTCAAATTTTGTAGTAAAACAAGTCTTCTCTAGAGCCCCATCACCGTCTCTTTTTCTTTGTTCTTCCACACCTCTAGCATCTCGAACCAAATAAGCTAGTGATCAAAAATATTATTTTTCATGTTACAATGATAAAATGAATAGGAAAAATGAAGAAGCAGAAGATGAAAAACTCATCCTTTCCTGAAACCTCTTTAAACTTGGATTTGCTCATGACACTATTTTAGAATCGACAAGGAAAAGGGAAGAAGAATTTACCTCGGTCTGATTGGTCGAGTGGCAAGATACAGAAAGTTCCAATCTCTGTACAAAGCTTAGAGATTGGAAATAAAGGTAGAAGAAGGAAGAAGGAAGAATGGAAATAAGACAAGACAGCAAAAATTAACTCTTAAATTACAAGACGTTTCAAAATCAACTTCATTAAAAATTACAAGATGCACCAGAATCAGTAAAAATGAACTCTTAAAATCAAAATGCGCATCTGGGGAATCGAAACCCGGTCAGTACTGTGGGAAGGTAATATGATACCACTACAATAGATGCACCTCTGCGAAGATGAGTCCTTAAAAATTATTATCATCGTTTCCAGTGAATAAAGAAAATCACGTCTGACTTACTTTTGAGTTCCCTTCCAACATGGGTTTTACTTTAAAAAATCACAAATTATATCTTTGGGTTTAGGGTTCATATGAAAAAAAACGTCAGTCAAAATCAAATAAATCTGTACATTGAGATTTTTAATGGGAGGTTGTCATTTCGACCCTGAAAGCTTGTTTCCGTTCTGAAGACATTAGTTTTTTTATATATATTTGGTTTTTTATTATATTTATTACTATTATTATTATTTTTATTATTAATATTATTTTTATTATTAATATTATTTTTATTATTAATATTATTATTTTATTACAGATACAACCCAAGGCCCAACTCTGGCCCGATTACAACCAGGCTCGATCAGAAATGGCCCAAGCATAACCCTAAACCCATTTACAGTTGGCCCAAACTAGATGGAAACCCTAAAACATTTAGGGTTTCAGCTAGGGTTTTCTAACCCTAGTCCCGCGTGCCGCCGCCTCATGTTTCCATATCATCCAGCCGCCTCAGCATCACAACCGTTGGATCTGAGAGATCCAACGGCCCACACGCATCCAGCACAAACCCTAGGGTGATGATACCCTAGGGCCACGCGGCTGCCGCAACTACTCCCACCATCTCCACCGCTGCCATGTCTCGTCGAAAGCTTCCAGAAGAGTCACTCCAGCCGCACACATGTCGCCCCAACGGTGAGTCACCACTGGAAGTCCGGTGACTCACCAAACTCCACTCTTTTACCCGGTCCGAGAGCCACACCGGTGATGGCTATAAAGCCATCGACCACCTACAAACAAGAGGAGACAGAGAGAAAGAAAAAAAACAAGAAAAAAAGAGAGCAAGCAAACCATCAACCACAAACACAAAAAAAAAAGTAAGGAGAAGACGGAGAGATACTTACTGAGGAAGCTGCAACATCACCGGAGCCTTCACACGTCATCGGAAACCTTCGAAAACCGAAGGTATTTTCGTAGATTTGCTCCGATCGGGAGTGTTTTAAGGGAAACGGTTATCGGAACCATCAATAGGATGGTTCGATCTATATTTAGGTATAAAAAAAAATTCCGACCACCAGATACGGTGGCCGGCGGTGGGGTTAATGCCGGCGAACGGCTGCCGGCCGGTGCCATTCTCTCTGTTTTAGAGAGAAGCGAGAGAGTTTTAAACTCTCTCAGAGAAGAGAGAGAAAGTGAAAGCGATAAATGAGAGCTGGCCCTTCGGGCCAGCCGGTTAGGGGCTTAAATAGCCCTCCCCAAACGACGTCGTTTTGGGGAGGGGTCTGTCTGTAATTAACTAAAAGTTAAACCCTTTCCGCAGCCATCCTAATTTATAATCCTTACATTTTAGTCACTAAATCAATTTATAATCCTTTTAATTCGGTTCTTTAATTTTAATTTTATTTATTTTAGTCCTTTATATTAAAATAATATATTTAGGATAAATATCATAATTAGTCCATTAATTTTAATAATTGATATTTTAAACCCCGAACAATATATTTCAATTTATTTTAATTTGATATATGAATTTGATATAATTTTATTTTAGTCACCAAATTAATAAATAAGGAGAATAACATGTTTAATCCCTGTAATTTTAAATAATTAATTACGAATTAGGTATTTAATTTTATTAGATTATAATTTAGTCACTAATTTTAAATATTTTCATTTATTATAAAGTTTTACTGCTTTTAAATATATAGTTCTAATTTTATTTTTATTATTGTTTATTTATGTTTTAATTTTACTTGTTTATATTTAAATATTATATTTATTATTATTATATAGTCATATAAATATAAATAATATATATAATAAATAAATAATAATTTATATTAAATCTTAATTTGATTTTACATAAATTATTTTTATCATATTTTAATATTTATTTATTTTTCAATATCAAAGAAAATGACAGTCTTAATACAACTGGATGTCCTATTCTGGTATTTTAAAATTAAATATTATAAAAAATATATAATTTAATTTTATTTAAATTATTATAATATTTATTAATATCGAAGAAAAGAGCTATCTTAAGGCATCTAGAAGTCATTTTCTGATATTTCTAAATAAGTAAATATCTTATTTATGTTTAATATATTTTCTTAAAAATATTTGAATTAAATAGGATTATAAATTAAATATATTTTGAATTTTTAATAATAGAGACAATTTATAATTAAAAAGTACCAATTTTGGGCGTTGTAGGGGTGCTAATCATTCCCTAAACGTAACCGACCACGAATCCCTTTTTATTATTAAAAAGAACGAATTTTTGGTTATAAACGCAGATCAGTTC